GTTCCAGTAGTTTTGTGCTTGTTATCCCGGTAGTTCCAGTAGTTTTGTGCTTGTTATCCCTTTAGTTCCAGGAGCTTTGTGCTTGTTATCCCTTTAGTTCCAGTGGTTTTGTGCTTGTTATCCCTTTAGTTCCAGTAGTTTTGTGATTGTTATCCCTGTAGTTCCAGTAGTTTTGTGCTTGTTATCGATTTAGTTCCAGCAGCTTTGTGCTTGTTATCCCTTTAGTTCCAGTAGTTTTGTGATTGCTATCCCTTTAGTTCCAGCAGCTTTGTGCTTGTTATCCCTTTAGTTCCAGTAGTTTTGTGCTTGTTATCCTTTTATTTCAGTGACGTTTTGAATGACATTGTTCGTTTAGATCAGTAACGTTGTGAAAGTTATCCATTTAGTTGTTACCATTTGTAATTTTCAAAGTATCTCGTTATTAGTGTTTCTATATGGTAAAGATTTCGAAAATTCCTGTAAAGTTAACATTTTGTGAATTATCGATCTACTGAATCACAGCTGTTTAAACTATTGTGCATTTGTTCATGTTTTTTACAGCTGGCGTTCAGTTGGAAGATCTAAAGCTGTATTAAAAAATAACGTAAACTTTTTAGTAACCAAGAATGACATTAACGTGTATAGTTTGGAATGTTTACTGTGAAAATTACCTATATAGTTTTAAAGTTGCTCAACAGATGGCAATAAAAACGTTTTAAATATATTAGTTAAGATCGGTCAAAGCACCGTTACACAACATTTTATTATTATTTGTTTTTATTATACGCAATTATTAAACTTTCCTACTGAACTGAAATTTGATCTCTTATTTTACATAATTTTCATTTAATTTTCCAGCTTTTCTCAAAATTATGGTTGAGGTAGTTATATTAATAATGTAATTTTGTTACGTTTTTTAATTACTTGATTAATATAATTTAATTACTATAATTGTAATTGATTAATAGATAGTATATACAATATTTTCCATATATATTCTAGCTAAAGGCAATTATCCGAGGAATTTAGCTGTTTATTCCACGTTTAAACAATTATCTCGTTCTTTGTCTTCACAAACTGAGAAGAGGCGGACTTAAGGGGACCTTAAGGGGACCTGCTCCCTCCCCGCAGTCCTTTTTTTAAAACCGCATGACCTATATATATGGTATGTGATGTTAATACACACAATTCAGTAACTAGTATCTCTGAATATAATATCAAACACGTTGATATCTGCTAGTTACAGTTCATAGAGAGGATATAATATCAGACACGTTGATACCTGCTAGTTACAGTTCATAGAGAGGATATAATATCAGACACGTTGATATCTGCTAGTTACAGTCCATAGAGAGGATATAATATCAGACACGTTGATATCTGGTAGTTACAGATCATAGAGAGGATATAATATCAGACACGTTGATATTTGCTAGTTACAGTTCATAGAGATGATATAATATCAGACACGTTGATGTCTGCTAGTTACAGATCATAGAGAGGATATAATATCTGACACGTTGATATCTGCTAGTTACAGTTCATAGAGAGGATATAATATCGGACACGTTGATATCTACTAGTTACAGTTCATAGAGAGGATATAATATCGGACACGTTGATATCTGCTAGTTAAAGTTCATAGAGAGGATATAATATCAAACGTGTTCACACCTGTGCTTTCTGTATAGGCCTAGCTGACCTAATTGTAAGTGTGTAGTTGATCTAAGTAAAATGCCAGCAAGCTCTCTCTTTAAGGGCCTGGCTTATCTAGATATAAGTAAAATGTCAGCAAGTTCTGTCTCCAAGGGCCTGGCTTATCTAGATCTAAGTAAAATGTCAGCAAGTTCTGTCTCTAAGAGCCTGGCTCATCTAGAACTAAGGAAAATGTCAGAAAGTTCTGTCTCTAAGGGCCTGGCTTATCTAGGTCTAAGTAAAATGTCAGCAAGTTCTGGTTTTAAGGGCCTGGCTCATCTAGGTCTAAGTAAAATGTCAGCAAATTCTGTCTCTAAATGTGTAGTTGATGTAAGTAAAATATCAACAAGTTATGTATCTAAGGGCCTGGCTTATATAGGTCTAAGTAAAATATCAACAAGTTATGTCTCTAAGGGCCTGGCTTATCTAGGTCTAAGTAAAATATCAACAAGTTATGTCTCTAAGGGCCTGGCTTATCTAGATCTAAGTAAAATATCAACAAGTTATGTCTCTAAGGGCCTGGCTTATCTAGGTCTAAGTAAAATATCAACAAGTTATGTCTCTAAGGGCCTGGCTTATCTAGGTCTAAGTAAAATATCAACAAGTTATGTTTCTAAGGGCCTAGCTTATATAGGTCTAAGTAAAATATCAACAA